CAGACATTTTTGATTTATGGTCAATAATGAAGCGTGGTCTGCGCTAAACGCTGTGGGTCTAGATACGGCCGAGGCGGCGAGGAAGTGGGGGCGAGTTTAGTCCGACGACGGAGGGACATGAGGGCCAAAAAGAGCGGAGATCCAGGTGGAAAAAGGGTCCCGGCGTTCTCGCGCACCTCGCTCTTCTAGCGGGTTAAACTTTACTAGTTGTTTTCCGCAATTTCGGTCATTAAAACAAAACAAGCCGGCCTCCTGTCTGCGGCACCGTCTGCTGTCAGCTGCATTTTGGGAGAGGTGCAGCGGAGCGTCTGCGGAGGGGGCGGGGACGTTGACAGCGAGGTATTGCATTGCACTCATTGCACTGATTTTGTGCAGTATTTTTTGATGCAAGGCCTTTCAGAATCTATAACGTAGAGGCATTATTATATTTCAGTGAATGAGGTTTTAATAGGTATAGGAGGAGTGCAAATTTCTACTTCTGTTATTTGTTGTTGTTTCTAAAAAAAAAAAAATGCATAACGATATTACAGCTTTCATTGATTTATTCAAATTTGAAACATTTTCTAGCCTGTAAGGAGTAAAAAAAATAAATAAATAAATAAAAAGAACCAATTAATGGAATGGAATCGTATCGTATCGTGGTGTTTTCTTGAGTATCGAAAATAATCGAATCCTTGGGTCAGGAAATCGCCATGATGGATGTGATTTACACCCCTAGTAAGTAGTGTCTGTTTGAATTACTTTAATAAAAAATAAAGAAATTGATAAATGGATTTACAGAAGCTGCCTTGAAAATGTTTTATTTTTCCCATATCATGATACTGCCAAAAATGTCCATGGACTTTTAAGGAGATTTATGTGAGTGAAAGAAAAAATTTTGCATCCAAAGTATGGAATATCTCACAGAGCGCTGTTTTAAACCATAATGTGTGATCCCATGAAGACATGGACAACTACTAGCCTGTTAGCCAGGAGCAAATAGGGAATGACTGTCAAAAATTATTTGGAGGAAGTTTGTTTGTTTGATTTAGAGATGTTTGGTGTTGCTAACCGGCGCTTTGTTAACTAATTTCATTCCCCAACCTCCTGCAGCTACATGCATCTGCAGCCAGCCACCAATATACACATCAACTCTCACTGCTCCTCATCTTTCCCTGTGAGATCTGACAAACATTTAGACTTTTAGTAAAAGTTTGTTTCCCTTTGATTCACAAATTTATGTAATTACTGTTTTGTAAGCGGTTGTAAATGACATCTCTCTGTCGAAAACATGGCTGCAAGGCCAGCTGGCTAACACTAACAATAAGCTAAAATAATCAAAGCACTAATCAGAGAAGCATTCAGAGAGTCGAACACTTAAGGGATTTTTTTAGGTGCTGGACATGGTTCATCCTGACAGGAAAACATGGCGGTGGTTGCAAAATGCTAAGAGCTTTTAATGGCCTGATCTAATTTAAAATAAAATGTGGCAACATTTGAAACGTGCTGTTCACAGATGCTTTCCATCAATTCAGACTTAGTATGAGCCATTTTACAGGGCAGAATGGACACAGATTATAGATAGTTAAAAAGCTAGTAGACATACAGAGGAAGACCTCCAGCAAAACGTGGTTCATAAATGATTAAATCCAGAAGTAGTCTGGACTTAACATTAACATTTATCTTTGCAGAAAAATATCAAAAAATATATATTTTTGTCTGTATTACACATAATAAACTACTTTGTCCTAACCCATTACTCCAAACACTAAAAAGCAGTGGAGTCTGTGGTTATAATGAATGTGAATGTCAGAGTAGGAAAATATATCGACTTTCAGGAAAAATTCAGAAAATAGTCAGATGAATTATTTAGAGCCAAACATGGCCAGTGTGTGTTGTTTTACATCTGTAATATTTTAAAATTATGAAGCTACAAATTAAGGTTATAAAATGTCAGCTTTAAAGTTCTAATAATAGTAAAAAAAAAAAAGATTTCTTTTGAATATGAGGCACCATCAGCCATTCTGGATTGCAATGATTTCGGCAAACTTTGTTGGGCTTGTTTTGTGTGACTTACATGTCCTCTACTGTGATATCCTTGAGGATTTGGCAGTAGTCAACATTCCAGACCGCCTGGTCGTCCCAGACCTTAGAAGCTAGGAGGATGGCTCCCAACACGATACGCTTCCAATTGGCAGGGCAGATGTCAATCTCAGCATAGGTGAGAAGCCTCTCCAGATAAACCTGAAACAGAGGAAGCTTTTAGGTTAACGTTTATTCCATTTTCAAAATCACACAAGTCTCTGGGGTTTTAGCAAAATCATCTCCTGATACAACGGCATTTAATCTCCTGTTGACTCTCCCCCAAAGATGTCAGAGGCTGATGAAACCGAGTATCCTGCTCATAAAATATCAATGGCAATTGAAGCTACATAGATCATAAAGGGTCCACAGGGACCTCACCTGTACAATTAATCCTTATCAGAGCAAGGATTCAATGGATCGTCCGCTCATTTTAGTTAGAACCAAAGATGTGTTAAAATTAAGGTACAAGCAGAACAAAGCTGCATTCTTTGATTAAGGAGAAATTACATGTTATGCATTCAAACCTTTTTTACTAAGACTAAATCTCAGAGTTTTAACATGATCATATGAGTGGAGAGACAAGAATTACAATATTGCATGGCAGAAGAGCTCAGGTGTTTAATTAAGACAAATCCTGCTGGTTCTGGTTTTGTGCCTGCAGGCGTTGTTAGTCCGACCCTGTAATATTTGCAAATGGCAGCAGTAGGGAGCCACAGAAGAACGTCCCCATGCACTGGAAAAAAATCAAAATCTTAATAAGTCATTGTTTCTTTAAATAAGTGCATTTGTCCTTGGATTGAGGTAAAAGAGACATTTTGCCAATTAACAAGACAATTTACATATAAAATAAAAAAACATAATAGCATTATCTTGTTTTAAGTGCATGTTATCTAATTATCTTATTTTAAGAGTAAAAATACTCATTCAATTGGCAAACTCATTTACCTACTCAAATTAAGGGTAAATACATGTAATTTAAGTAAATTGTACTTATCTGTAGATAGTGTTTCCAGTGTAAAACAGTGAGTTAGAACCCACAATGTGGAAAGAACACGAACAACTGAACAATAGCTGCTCAGAAATCACTGAACTGATCAAATCTGACAAGTTTAAAATATATTGGTTGGTTTATCACATCTGCTGGTTATTATAGCTCAAGCTCTAATAAATGAATCAATTTTATTTATAATCTTAAGTGCATAAATTTTTTTAATTTTACACAAACATTTGCACCCATCTGTTTTTAATAAATCAAGCTGAAACAGGATTTGATATGGGAGGAGAAAAAAAGCTTACTTTCATTACAGATATTGATAAAGCTTACAGTTAGAGTGGCTCAGGTTATCCTGCGCTATCTCTATAGTTATGCTGCTATAGGTTTAGACTGCTGGAGGACATAGGGACCCCTATTTCATCATTCTGCTTCATTCTATCTCTATTCTCCTATTCTGCAGAATCTGTTAGTTCAATCTCTAACGTTCTGCTCTCTCTGCTTTTCCTCAGAGTAGCTTTGCCTCGTCTGTTCCTGTTTGGCTGTGACGCCATCCTGGAGAGAAACATCAGCTGTGCTGTTTCCATCAACACCCTTGTTTATAGATGCTGGAAATCAGCCTGTTTTCCAGTGTGGTCCTGTTTCTCTGTCCGTGGCTGGCAGGATGTGCTCTCTTCATCCTCTGGCATGGGAGCTGGCTCTGCCTGGCTGTGTGTTTCCTGGACGGGGCCGCCGTTTGCAGCTGCTTTTTGTATCTCTGCTTCTGTCTCCTTGAACCCCAGTGGGCCTCAGCAGATGGCCGCTCACACTGAGCCTGGTTCTGCTGGAGGTTTCTTCCTGTTAAAAGGGAGTTTTTCCTCTCCACTGTCGCTACAAGCATGCTTAGTGGGAGGGATTGTATTTGAGTCAATGAGTCGATGCAATCAACTGGTTTTCCTCAGATAGAAAACCTTGAATCAATTTGACTGTATGATCTGGTGACCTGGAAAGTGCCTTGAGATGACTTGTGTTGTGAATTTGGCGCTATACAAATATACTGAATTGAATTGAATTCAGTCCAATGCCATGTTATTTATTTCACTTAAACTTTTATTTTATTGTTATTTTACCTTCTTGAGGTTCAGCTTCTCATTTTAGGGTTTTACAATTTACACCAACAGAAACCATAGGTGTAAAGTGAATGGAAAAAAATCAGAAAAGTCCAGATTAAAGACTCATTTTTTTTTTTAAACTAACTTAGGACTCATTGTTTTTTGCTTGTGATTTTACTTTTTTTTCCGCAATGTTTTTACCTTTCTGTGAAGCACTTTGGTCTTCCTGGTGTTGTTGCAAAGTGCTAAATAAATCAAGTTTGATTTGATTTGAGAAAATATGTCGTCCATTAGAGTTTGGGGCCCTCAATCAATACATTTACTAGAATAAAAGTTATACATTTTTGAGTGTACAATCTACTAGACTAACAAAAATAAAGATTTGTCTCATATTAATTTGCAAAAAAAGCTCAATTTAAGATCTTGACACAGATATTACACTGGAAAAACGATATAGAAATAAGTTAAAATTTTGTAAATTAAGAGTATTTACCCTTAATTTGAGTAGGTAAATGGGGTAGTTTGCCAATGGAATGAGTATTTTTACTCTTAAAATAAGATAATTAGATAACATGCACTTAAAATAAGACAATAAAATTGTGTTTTCTTATTTTAAATCTACATTGTCTTGGTCCATTGGCAAAATTCTCTTTTAGCTTCTTAATTCAAAAACAAATTCTCTTATTTTAAGAAATAATGACTTATCTAGATTTAGATTTTTTTCCAGTGTATGTCAGTGTGTACTTTGACTAGGCCATTCTAACTCATCGATAGCTTTCACCACTGCAGCTCCTCCAGTTAGGTAACTGTTGCTTTACTCATTACCTCCTGGCCAGGTGGTTAAAGCAGACAGACATACATGATTACCTTTTTCTCATAAAGGCCATCTTTGTGGAGTATACAACTAATCGCGTTCCTTGGTTTATACAGTTTGAAACCTTTACGGAAAGATTTATTCTTAAATTACACACAGCTAGTCTCTATTTATCATATGTATGTTATTTTCTGCACGTGCAGCAGCCCGTTACGTCGGCCCAAGTAAATATCTCCACTGTGAGATCAATAAAGTCAATCAATGGCCTGTATTTGATCTGCACTTCTAAAGATCTAAGCTGTGGATTCTCTTGTTTTCTTTCTTTTCCATCTTTTAATTAACCGTTCAATCTCCTTCCCAACAGAGTAATGATAACAACACGCAGAAAGCATCCACAGCTTCTCTCTGTGTTCCCATCTCTAAGCTTTCAGCTGGACTAAGCAGCAGCCAATCATCTGCAGTCTGGCAGGTTTTACTGTGACGTCAGCCGCACTTCTTCTGAACAGCCACATGGATTGAAAAAAGATACTGGCAGTCAGATAACTGATGCCAGAGTTATAATGGCAGTTATTCTTAGAAACAAAGGCACTGTTCACACATTTAAGCATCTGTGGTGTGGAACAACAAGCCCCCCACTTTCATCCCCCATCCCTAAACAGTTGTATAGACCCCAGAAAAATCCAGGTCTCCAGAGACACTAATGCCGCTAGTTCATTGTTGAAGTGTAGCAGGAGGTGTTTCTGGTCAGATACGAGGGAAATTTATCAATTGTGAAAAAAAGAAAAATAGTATTTTAGTTGGACGTCCAGGAATAGAGAAACCAGAATAAATGGCAGCACATGATGTTGTTTAATCAGACTTGAAAAGCTACAACTCCTCCTGGTGTCGGCACACATTCTGGCTCACTGAAACACATTAATATACCAACCAGAGTGACAATAGCACACTCAGCGGTGAGCTGTGCAGCGCTGAAAAGCGTCCTGACGAAGCGGTAGATCTGCTTCTGCTCAGGGTCGTATTTGTCATAATCAGCAGGAACCTCAGACTTCTGCAAAAAGAAAAAAAAAAGTTAAGTACTATAAAAGGTCACGGCTGCACTTTTAAAAACGATGAAATTGTCCAGAGAGCTGTTCCAAACGAAATTTCTTTTTGTTTTACACATGTGTAAACAAAATTGTCAAATAAAATCTAAGTCTAAAAACAACCTTTATGCATCTCATCTGTTTTTTAATAGAAAAGAGACCTTTTTAAAAGTGGCATTGGAATTTTAAGGAATAAATCAGATGGAAACTGATCCAGCTGGATCTGAATATTTCATTCATTTATATTCATTTGCAGCTTGTCTTGCTGATAGATCTTGACAGCTCTATGGTTTGCACCAAATTGAAGTTTGCCTGCAGCTGAGGCCATACCGTGAGAGGATGCAGCTTCTCATCAAAAATGTCTAACAACATTCGTCCGTCGACATCCCTGGAACGAGAAAGAAAGAATAAACATCAGGTTAAGAAATAGAACTTAAAACCCGCCTGTTGATTGAGATCTTTAATGGTAACGTTCTGGTCCCAATGCATAAAGAGTTGGTTTTCTACGAGATTTCCATTTACAAACGCTTCAAGCAGGATTGTTGAAAAACTGCCTACAAGGTAAAGATTCTGCAGCACACTGGATGCAGAGCGCCACGGTTGCTTTGGTTACACATAGAGGTGTAAATAATAACCATTTTGTATCGATGCATCGATCCACCAGCCGACGATCCGATGCATTGATACGTCCGCAAGAGTATCGATTCATGTTTTATTTTTCCTCCGGTCTATTTTTATCCATTTGCTCCTGGACGTAATTCTCCCTCCCGTGCTGCGGTGGCGCTAAACCTATTTTGCCCTCCTACCTCGCTTCCTGGTCATACTCTTACAGCAGTTTGTTACAGTGAGCTTGACATAGACATTTTTGATTTTTGCTCAATATTGAAGCGTGGTCTGTGCTACACGCTGTGGGTCTAGATACGGCCGAGGCGGCGAAGAAGTGGGGGCGAGTTTAGTCCGGCGACGGAGGGACATGAGGGCCAAAAAGAGCGGAGATCCAGGTGGAAAAAGGGTCCCAGCGTTCTCGCGAACCACGCTCTTCCACAGTTTCGGTCATAAAAACAAAACAAGCCGGCCTCCTGTCTGCGGTCAGCTAGCCAGTAAGGTGTTAAAAAAGAAAAAAAAATGAACCAATTAAACAAATCAAATCGCATCGTGGTGTATTCTTGAGTATTGAAAATAATCGAATCATTGGGTCAGGAAATCGATACTGAATCAAATCGCTATGATGGGTGTGATTTACACCCCTAGTTACACATCATAAAAAATATCCAAAAAGGAAGAAAATCAGTAAAAATCCTTTCAGTTTCACAGCATTCAAGACCAAAAGCCAAAAAATAAATAAAAGAAACAGAAAAAAGAAACCAGAAAACAGAGAAACTAAAGGATGTAAAGAAGAATATCAGTCAAGCTAGCAGATCTATTCCAACATGCAGCCACCTTAAGCAGCGCAATTCAATAAATAAGTCCATGTCTGAAAAAACTGATCAACTATCTGGTGAAACAGATTGCAACATGGAGTGTTTGTTTTGTAACTGGCTTAAAACACAACATAGCTTCAGCAGTGTATATATTTTATTAGCACTAATTGCTGTATGTTGAGTAGCAAAGGTTAAAGACCATGCTTACTCCTCTCATAGCTTTGTTATCAGTTTTAAAACAGAACTTTATCTCCTTTAAAGCAGTAATAGATGCCTTGTTCCTATATTTTATACCTAAATTCAATGGAAGAAATTCTGTTATAATTAATACTCATTTGTTTCAAATAAGTTGAATAAAAGACGTTTCTTAAAAAAGGCTAAATGATTTTATAAATTATAACTAAAACAATCTGATTACCTTAATAATGGATTAAACTAAAATATATATTACTGCTGCTGTTCTCTTATGTTATTCATTTATTTAGGAACTAATAGAGCTTTAACATTAAAAAGGTTGTTTTGTCGATCAAAGTTATTCGATTAGAATTTTATTAACTGCAATTAATTAATTAATTACAGGACATACAAGCTTACTTTCATGTCCTTAGATAATATTCCTTCCACATTCTTCATAGTATTTGATCTCTGAAGCTACATTATCACTTTTTTCATCCTTCAGATAGAAAAGTTTATTTTTACTAGATTCTTGCTTTGAATAGTTCAACTCGAGCTAGAAAACTTTGAATCCATGAAACCTTAAAGAAAACAATCATAGAAGATGAAGAGATTGAAAGAAATAAATTTAATAAATGAGTCTTTGCACTATTTTTAAACAAGATTAGCAGCAATCTTCCTGAATGTTTACTTTAGTTCCCTTAAAAAAAGCAACAAATTTTTCTTCAGTGTCCTAGCCAACATCTAGCATTGCTTTGATGCTACGTTCACACCAAAAGCAGCAGAGGCAGCAGGAGGAGCTAGTTTACATGCAAAGTCAATGGTTGACGTGCATCAAGGCCCAGCAAAATGTCCTGCAGCACGTTTTGAGGAATAGGAGCAGCACGTCTGAGCAGCTGATGCGCTGCAAAAGCAGCTGCTGCTGGAGTTGGAAAAACCGAACTTTTGCTGCTCGACGCGCCACATCAACCAATCAGAGAAGCTGATCTGGGAGCTGGCAGGGAGACAGAGACATCTGTTTGAAACAGTTTGTTAACGCCTAAATTAACTTAAAATGCCGAAATCTGCCAGCAAAACTTGTTCACTTTTATTATCCTGGTGCAGTTTGGATTACGTACATGAAAAACTCCTTTCAGTTGTGGCAAACCGCAAAAAGGCGACCAGGCCATAGGCTGCTGTTGAATGGGATTTCTAGTGACAGCGCAACGCCGGTATGTGGGGTCTGAGCGGCTCCGACAGCAAAATAATATTTGAAGGTCATGGTATTAATGTTCATCTGGATGAATTGACTGCACAGATTAAGGTTTCATGTGGACTTTCTCACTTCAAAACATATTAAAACTACTTTTTACCCACTGATCACTGCAAATATAGCTGCCATTGTTACAGGCAAAGAAAGGATAGGGTAGCTCTGCCCACCGCGCATCAGACCCACTTTTTCAACCTTGCAGCCAGAGCATCAAAAATGAAGCAGCACACGCGTTTTTGCTGCTCTTGCTGCCTGCGGTCTGAACGTAACATAAAGCGAGTTCATGGACAAATGACATGACGTTGAATAAAAACTAACAAGAGCAACCGACGTTGTCCAAATGGCGAACGGTTATTAGTAAACATTTTGACAAAGGAAAGTGAGCTGCTTCTACTCCCCATTACATTCTTTTAAACAGCCACTGCATCCCGCATCTAAAGAAATGTGGTGACCCATTTTCTGGGGTAAACGGAAATACAAATGTCTTTGCACGTTGATGTGATAATGTAGGTTAGACATTTTTGACAAGTCATAACAAAACACTGATTAATCAAAAGCAGACTAAGATTACAGTTTTTTCTTCTAGTCCCTCCATAGGGCCCCTAGCTACAACTTTTAGACTACATTTCTCCTGACTTTACCCTCCTTGCTGAAAAATAAAAACATTAAATTGATAGATGATGAACTCCTATTTGAGCAGGAGGCATTACTGTCCTTACTTTCTTCCACTGTGTTATGAACTGAGCTACAAACAAAATTTCAATGTTCTTCAGTAACAGCGGCTGGCTAACTCAAGTGACAAGTCACCCATCCTGCAAACAGGAAGCCTGGGTCCGTATCCCAGCTGAGGGGAATGAGCTGCCAGTGTGGGTCCTTAGGCAAGACCCTTCACGCTAATGCCTGCTTTAGAAAGTGGCGGCCAAGCGGCATTGTACTTGGAATCATGAGATTCTGAGTTCAAGCTCCACCCCACTCCCATGGACTGTCACTCTGGGTCCCCGAGTAAGTCCCTTAACCCCACACTGCTCCTCAAGGCTGGCAGAGAGTAAATGCAGAGAGTTAATTTCGTTGCTCTGTACCTGTGACAGTGTAATGACAATAAAACGCTGAAAAAAAAAATTTGCCTGTACAGGGTTCCTACAGCATAAGGCGAGTTAAATTCAAAACTTTTTAAGACTTTTAAATCCACTTGAAATAAAAGTTTAAGACCAAATTCACAAGAAACAAAAGAAAAACCTGCTTGCGACAATTTAACCCAAAGGTTCATTTTAACATAAACCACTGCACTAATGTTTTAAATTTTGAAAAGCTTCCCATATAGGAAGAAAGCTAAAAACACACAAATGACAGATATATTTTAACAATTATTTAACTGAATTCACAAACCTTGTTTAGCAGGGAACCAAACAAATCAGTTTTAAAGCCCCAACATAACCAGTGCTAAGTCTCTTTTGCAGCTATTTTTCTTTGTATGGTTTTCTTAGTATGTTTGATTTGGTGATAAGTGGAGGCGTTGCAGAGACAAGGGTGGAACAAAACTGAGAAATACCGGCTGTTTCTCGGTAACTCGATTTTGACGCTTTGTGTTTCGTCCTACGCATGTGACTCCACTGCCTTAATTCCCATCGTTCAGAGCTTGAATGACTTCTTGCACAAAATCCACTGTGCCTCATGTATGTTCCCTGGTTTTAGCCATGGAGAAAACTCTTGGCTGGATAACCAATTTTCGTTACATTTACACTTGCTCATATTTTCCAGACAAAAAGTTAATGGCGCATCTCCCAAATGTCCCGGCCGCAACAACGCTTTTATTGGTTCCGCTATCGGGACGGAACCAATAATGGAGAGCCGTTATTTTTTTTATATATAAAAAAAATTGTTAATTTTAACGTTTTATTTAGATTGCAAATATAAATAAAAATAAAAATAATCCTATTTATGATGTTTTAAAAATTAAGACCTACGAAAGACTGATGTAAGACATTTTAATACCAATTAAGGCCTTAGTTTTAGGACCCGCGGGAACTCTGCTGTACTCTTAACGTACACTTAACCTACTAGATATTTTTCTAAACTAACTATTGATTCCTAAAGAGGAACAAAATACGAAATTCCAAGTGTAATATTTGTGACACGTGTGACATTCAGTAGTGAATTATGAAAATGTTTGCACCATGCTTAGATGTAAACAGTGCACCACCAGGGTTTATACAGGAATGAATAACTCAACTTTAATGCTTTTTAATTTAATGCTCTTTTAATGCTCTTAGAAATAATTTTAATGCCACCAACAGGTACCTGTCTAAAGGCTGCGGCCATGTCCCGAAATCCTCATTTTCCAGCCACTTTTGTTGAAACTAGCTTTTTCCCCCCCCATTCTCTTGCTTTTTCTCCGACTCAGGCTTATTTTCTGAACATACAGCTTTGCGATCAACTGGAAGCAGTTCCACGCAAATATATCGTGATATAACATGTCTGACGAAATTGTTTTTATAAACTTTTTTTTTTTAATAAAGCATTTTAAATGCCACAATAAACACATTTAATGAATTTTAACGCCAATTAAGGCCTTAATTTAAAAAATAATGATTTAATGATTTTTAATGACCCACGGAAACCCTGACCACACTCTTTACATTTGATCACTGCTGTACTTTATGAAATCGAAATATTCATTTTACTGCTAAGTGTCATTTACAGTCTGAAAGCTGTAAAAAACTGTCTAAGAAGAGTAGAAAAATGTAAAATACTTTCCAAACCTGTTTTTTATGTGGTAGTAGATTGCCAGAGCTACACTGTACAAGACAAAAAAGACAAATATAAGAGGATATTAACTTAAAACAAGGACACATCACCAGATATTTCTCAGTTAAAGAGAGGATAGCTCTAGCGATAAGGTTAGTTACCATTTGATGGTGTATTTGAGGTTGGGCTGGCTGACTGTGCTGTCATCCAGAAATATGGTGGAACAGGAGCTGTATTTTCGTCTCAGTGGGCCTGAATGATGCTGCAGCACGTATGCAAACACAAACACATTCATTTAGATTGATCAACATCTTTATTACTCTACTAGGAGCACATAATGGCTTTGTAACACAGACAGAAGGAAGTGCAGCCATAACAGAAAGTCCCTTTCAGTGCTTTAACATCTCCATGCAATATTTATATTCATAGTGGAGTCCATCTTTAAGGAAGAATAAAAATGTAATTTCCTGTTCACATTTTTTAAATTACATTTTTATTCAGGCTTGTAGGCTTATAATATAGTTCACCTTAACAGATCGTATGTAATTATAAAAGAACATTCAAAATATCAACTCTAAATTGCATCTATGCTTGGAGAAAGTTTAAGATGAACTGCACCAAAAATAAAATCTCTGTTTCTATAAGATGACAGACAGAAACCAAACAAAACCGTGGACAGGGTATCAAATGATGTGATTAAAATGGTGGTGGGATCTGTGAAACAGACAAATAAAGACAGCTGGATGGTCGTCTTTTTTTCTTTTTTTTTTACCTTGCTTTCCGAAATGTGTGTAAACTTGCAAAACAAACAATATAGTCAAATTATAAATCTTCACAATTCAAAGGGAAATTCAAACCAATTCGTTTTTTTTTTTTTGGTTTTACTTACATGGTTGATGTAAAGGCTTTTTCGCTTTTCTCGAACTGCAAAGATAAGAAAACAGCTGTCAACTTATAGCTCTGCATGAATGCAGTACATAACCCCAACAGAGAGAGACTCACAAATTTACCACAATGTCCTCGATTTAAACTGCAAATGGGAATTGATCTGTATTTGTTAAGATTTTAAAAGCTTTTTTATTTTTATTTTGTGTGTATAGCAAGCTGTATTTAGCAGGTTAAATTAACAGCTAAACTCCTGAATCAGTTTCTGTTTTAATCCCTATCTACAGACTAAGGATTGAGGTTTACTGACGGCAGTGAATGAGAGTGTCATGGTAACATAGGGCTCTTTAGGATATTTATCTGATACGACTGCACCTAAAAATCCTCTAACATCATTCCAGGGGTTCTGAGAAACTGCTGACTTAAATTTAGAAGAAATTTAAGTTATTACCTATGCATTAGCAGGATTGTAAGGAGGGTAAAGAAAACCTCTAAAGGCAACAGAAACACGAATGATCTGATATCCTTGGCCAAACCCAATCCAGGTATTTTTCAAAGTGTTAAAAGCAACTGTAGAAATCATTGCGACTTTTCTAAAAACATGTTCTGATCGTTCCTTTTCCTCAACGTATATATTTTTATCGAATAAGTGGGCAGCACAGTGGGTAGCACTGCTGCCTTGCAGCAAGAAGTTCCTGAATTCGATTCCAGACTAGTGTTCTTTCCGCATGGAGTTTGCATGTTCTCCCTGAGCATGCGTGGGTTCTCTCCGGGTACTCTGGCTTCCTCCCACAGTCAAAAAACATGACTGTTTGGTTAATTGGCTTCTCTGGTGTCTATCTTGCCTGTAGACAGATAGACACCAGCACCCCTCGCGACGCCGGTAGGGATAAAACGTGACGGAAAATGGATGGATGGATGAATAAATGTACTCTAATTTAAAGGTATAGTGGACAATCGTCTTTTGGCTTAAAGTTCAAGAGAGATCATCTTATCTAGTTGAGATGTGCTTGTTTCTTCTTGCTGTGCACAGCCTATTTACCAAGCTTCAGTGTCAGCTATTCATTGTAGCTCCTGTCTTCCCCCTGTCCATTATGAAAACTGCTGAGAGTCAGAAGACGCAAACGTTCTTACAAGTTCATGAGAAGAAGAGAAATAAGAAAATTAGTCCAGATTGTATTTGATTGGTAGAGCAGTTGGGATGGTCCTGCACATCACTGGAAAAAATTGAAATCTAGATAAGTCATTATTTCTTAAAATAAGTGAATTTGTTTTTAGATTGTAGAGGTAAAAGAGACATTTTGCCAATGGAACAAGACAATTTACACTTGAAATAAGAAAAAAACAATTTCATTGTCTTATTTCAAGTGCATATTATCTAATTATCTTATTTTAAGAGTAAATATACTAATTCCACTGGCAAACTATCTCATTTACCTACTATAATTAAGGGTAAATTCACTTAATTTTTTAGAAATTTTACTTATTTCTAGATTATTTTTCCAGTACACCGTAAAAGATGGACTTATTTTTGACTTTTTGGTGAGGAGAGACGGATAAAAGTCCAATATGTTAGTAGTTGAAAGGCTTTGCAGATATCTATACGCATTGAAATGGGGACATGGTCGATTTTGAACAGATTGACATAACAAAGAATTATCCTTCTGTTAATTTGTGACCTAATTTGAGGACATTTGATGACAAATGTGGAACTTAAAAACCTTTTGCACTGACAGTTTATTGTGAAACATAACAGTTACATTTTGCTATCTGTGCAAGAAATATATCAAATCCAGGTGGAAGGAAAAAATGACATGAAGAAGAGCCCCACCATATGCATGCTGTGTAAAACTAAGCTAAAACACTTTAAAAACATGATAATAATTCATATCCCCAGTTTTTTAATGAGCTCAGAGGGCACATTAATCTCCTCACTCCAAGATCCAAACAAGCCACAGGATTGCTAAAAGCAGGTAGGATCGCTCCTACATGTGCTGTGTGTCATACGACTTTATGTCACGACAACAGTTTATTTTCTGATGCATGGTGCAGGGTGCTTCAAAACAGGAACAATGACGAGAGTCACAGATTCAAATAAGAATGAGCTCGTAGAAGCAGAGAAATGGCTGATCACTCAGACGGCTGAGTTCTGGTTACTGGGAGAACACGTCGCTCACCTGTGTGAGGAGAGGGGGAAGGGTTTGTAGGTAGCTGCTGAGTAGGAAGACCATGGCTTAATGTTCTGTGTATCTAAATCAGGTATTTAGTTTGATTTGGCTTATTTTGCCTTCGCTTCATTGATGATTTCATCTGCTTTTAAAATCTGTGCATCTCCTCTCTTTTTTTCACAACCTCATGTGACACCTATAAATGGGGTCAGCTGTTTATGTTAGTTCAAACTGTACAGACAATATTGATGATATTTTAATAATAAAAAACAAAACTCTTCCTCACCCACCAAGGGTGGTCTCCCTTTTTTTTCTCCTCCAAGCTCGGGTCCTCTACCAGAGGCCCGGGAGCTTGAGGGTTCTGCACAGAGAGCTGTTTTTTAAGTGTTTTGCTGTTTTATGCAAATCATTTTTTAAATGTTAAATGCTTTGGGCAAAGCTCTAAATTTACCGGTCGGTCTACGTTCCTATCCTCACCTATGGTCATGAAATCTGGATCATGAATGAAAGAACGAGATCCCGGATACAAGCAGCTGAAATGAGCTTTCTCCGCAGTTTCTTTTAAGGACATTTTCAGCTATAAGTACACATGCAAAGTGTAAGAAGTTATTGCTCATCTATTGGCGCCTGAACCAGCTTTATATTTATATACAGATTTGTGAGTTATAGTTAGTCATCATAAGTTTGAATGAAATCATATATTTTAACCTTTTTTTTTCATTTCATCTAAAGAGTCAGCTCTGACAGTGTTTTTAGATCTGAATGTTGCCATGACGTTAGTAAAGAAATGTGAACGGCAGACAGAAATACTGTACATATGTTTTCCTTGAATTAGAAAGCTCTCAAGGAGGAAAATAGCTGCTAGCAAAAGCAAACAGCAGCAGATGGGGGAGCAGAATTAAAAACAAAAAAGTACTGAGGCGCCTCACATTTCTACCCCTAGTTTCCTCCTTATCCCTGATAACTAGGGATGCAAGAAATGCTCTATTTCACAGAGAAGTGCCACCGGTTTGAAGCCAAAAGCAACATTCAGATGCATATTAGATGACATATTTTACAAAAAAGAAATGAGGTTACAGTTTTGATCTAGCTTTTGGAAGCATTGCTCGCTCTACATACAGTTTCACTCATGGACCAACATGTGCAGCAGAAGAAATATGCACAGAAAATGAAAGCAGCATCTTAACTTGAGACACACACAGCTAAATTCACATTGATAGCATGACAATTCATAAAAAACAATAAAAAAAAGACAACACTGGCCAAATAAAGGCAGTACAGAGTTTAGACACCAGGAAGGAGCCGCTCTCTTCAGAGGCAAGCCCAGACAGACAGTAAGCAGAGCGTTTAGCAGCCCTCTGAATCGCTTACCTCTCTTGTTGGGCATCAAAACTGAAAAACAAAAGTCCAAGTTGGCTTCAAGCTTTTACTCATTATAGAAATTTACAAGCAAGTACAAAATAAGATCATGTATAACAAGGTCGTCACGAGGTTGTTCATTAAGGATGCTGTTTTAACACAAAAAGCACATAAAAAAATTCATAAAAATATCCAAAAGAGTAACTAAAGACATAATACATGTATTATGCCTAGATGGCGCAGTCTTAAATCATAATGTTGTGTGAAAAATAACCAGCAAATTTTCCCACCACAGTGTAATCATGGCTAATAGCAGAGTGTGGAGTTTAACCACATTATGAGGAATCAATAATCCAAGCTGTACGCAACCACCTGCAAGGCTCAAATGGCTTTCCTCCAGGGTCAAAGGAATTAAAGAGCATTAAAATGCTTAATCGATGTAAAGAGGCTGTATTTGAACTGGAAGAAAATCTAAAAACAGCTGAACATTACAGTATCTAGCACACATTCTGGAGTCACGATTTTGAAGATTTAATATCCTTCGATGCTTTCCTGCTTTGGAACACTTGAGTTCAATTGATCCCTTAAACCAGGGGTCGGCAACCCGCGGCTCCCTGGAGCTTTTTCAAAAATTTCTGAAAATTTAGTCTTTTTTTCTTTCTTTTGTTTTAATATGGTGTGCAGGAGGTCAAACAAAAAATAATTACTGTATTTTCACGACTATAATGCTGCGTTCACACCGGACGCAGCAAGAGCAGCAAAATCGCGTCTGCTGCTTCATTTTTGCTGCTTGTACCAGTTAGTTCTGCAAAAGTGGGTCTGACGCGAGTTGGGCGGAGCTATATTTGCTGTGATCAGTGGGAATAAAGTAGTTTTAATATGTTTTAAAGTGAGAAAATCCACCTGAAAACTTAATCATTGCAGTCAGTTTATTCAGATTTCCATCCTGCCTTCCCATATTATTTCTGTCGGAGCTGCTCAGACCCCCACATACCAGCGGTGCGCTGTCAGTAGGAATCCCATCCAACAGCAGCCTCTGGCCGGGTCGCTTCTTCGCGGTTCACCGCGGCGGCTGGTAGGTTTTTTTTCATCTAAATAATCTAAACTTCAGGCACCAGGATAATAAAAGCGAACATATTCTGTCGGCAGATTTCAGCATTTTAAGTTCATTTAGGTCTCAATAAACTGTTTCAGAGGAGTGATCGCAGCGCTCTGTATCATCAGCGATGTGTCTGTCTCTCTGCCAGCTCCCAGATCAGCGTCTCTGATTGGTTGATGCTGCGCGTCGAGCAGCAAAAGTTCAATTTTTCCATCTCGAGCAGCAGCGCATTTGCGGTGCGTCAGATGCTTGAACGCTCCCGACGCGCTGCTTCAGCTGCTCAGACGCGCTGCGCCTGCTGCTCAAAACGCGCTGCGGGACATTTTGCTGCGCCTTGACGCGCGTCAACCATTGACTTTGTATGTAAACTTGCTGCTTCTGCCGCGCCTGCTGCGTCCGGTGTGAACGTAGCATGAGACCTTTCCACTTTTCATTTCCGGATTAGCAATGACAAAGTGAGTAAGTATAACATGCTTTAATTTATCTGACTCTTAAAAGATTTCATACTTGAATTTGAAATGACCAAATCTTGTTTTATTTGTGCATCCGAGCAGAGTGCTACATGGAAAACACTTTCCTTACATTCTGCAACACTAACCTGCTCCAAATAGATTATTGTATTGACAGCAAACATGAACTTACCATCTGTCTGCGACTTGCTTAGAAAGATGGTGCTGGCCCGGGGATGATCCGAAGGGTTATTATCCATGGGAAGATCTGGAAATACAGATAAGGAAAACTTTAGCTCCAAAACCCTAACACCACTGGAATCTGATTAAAAACAACAGTGTAATAAGAGGTAATGTATCAAAGTATCTTAAGGTTCAGTAAAAAAAAATATATATATATATATAATTTTACAACTTAGATTCTAACAAAATACATTTTAATTAAACATGAAACCACGCTGTAAGAGGATAACCATCGTTTCATATTTTTTGTTAAATTCTCAAATTGGCTTCAGTGTTAAACTGTCTCCCTTGTAATGTAGGGAACTGAACAGAAAGGTAACCTTTTAGCTGACAGAGTGCTGCATCATGGCTCTGCTGTGTAAACAACGGTTTGTAAATCGATAAATTCTGCAAACACAGCAGAACGTTATAGATCTACTGATCGCACCAGAGCTGGCAGGGCAAAAATAAAGCCTTCAGCAGGATATATCTACGAACCCACATACCGGTAGGTCATCGTGTCATGATGAGCAAAACAATTCAATGATCGGTCTGTTCGCATAATAACTGCAGAGGTAACTACTCAACCTCATAATCCAACCATTTGCAACACAGCTTGTGATTGTGGGGGAAAAGGGAATAATATATATGTTTTTTTAACATTGTTGTACAAATACAGATCTTAAAAATGGAAATGCTACGATAGAACTCTCATGCTACCGAAACCATCTAAGGCTAAATGACGGGCTAGCTGAGAGCCCTATGGTAAGCAAGGATGTCCCACCTGAATTGTCCCCCCACAGTGAAAGAATCTGTCAGAAAGATAAAGATTAGCAAATAGAGTGAGCTACAGTTAGCCGTGTGTTTAACATTCGGTCTTCAAGAAAGAATGGCAAGGAGGAAGCTATTGGTGAAAGAAATCCATAACGTCCAGTTTACAGTCATGTATGCTATAATGGAAATATGTCAAAGGTCTAATGAGAACAGAATTCACCTTTAAAGTATACACTCCCCCCGCTCTTAGCAGTTTTCTTATGGGATCATTGGAACCCCTCTAAATAAGATTGGTTTACTAGTTAATAAAGAGTAAATACAACTATTGTCTTCATCTAAGCCTTCAACTTGTATTTAAGATCCGGTTCCAACCAGGTTATTTAAGGAAGTATTCCCTCTGAATTCCTCCTCTATTTTAGACATGACTAATCTGTCCCATTACAGGGATATGTACGCCAGACTTTTAAGGAAGCTGTAAACAAACATTTACTTAAGAAACCTCTCAATCCAGATGACTCAATCAATTATAAACCTATATCTTAGTATCTCTCATCTTAAATTCTTAAGAAAATACTTGGCTGTCAAATGAACTTTTTAAAGAGTTTCAATCAGGCTTTAGAGCTCATCATAGCACTGAAACAGCTATGGTTAAAGTCACTAATGATATTCTCATGGCCTTAGATAACAGCCTTGTATCTGTACTTGTCCTGTTAGTTCTCAGTGTTGCATTTAATCCAGCCTATGTCCAGTCATGTTATTCTTTTAGAAAGGTTTGAATATTCTGTGAGTATTAAGGGAACAGCACTTAGCTGGTTAAACTTTGTTAAACTCGATACTGAGGCATAAAACAATCATTTGCATGTGGCAAAGGTTCAAAATATTTTCATTAACATGCAATCAAACACTTTTTGGATTCTCTGAATATGACTGTACAACTCACCATAAAAAAAGCTTGAATTACCTATTTTAAAGTCTTAAATGGCCATGGGAGGCCATAATGTTGATGGTAAAATAGTAAACGGCAAGTACTTTTATAGCGCTTTTTCCAAGTCGAGGACTTGAGCAAAGCAATTTACACTGCATTCAGTCATTCACCCATTCACACACACACTGATGGTGGCAAACTAAATTGTAGCCACAAGCTGTCCTGGGGCTCATCATGTTATAATTGAACTTTATTCAAAGTCAAAAGTCAAAAAGCCTTTATTGTCATTATATTCTGTGACAGATACAATGAGATTTGGGACTTCCATAACAGTTACCGTGAGATGAAAATAAAATAAAAATATATAAAAAATATATAGATATATTAAAAGGAAAAGGAAAAGGAAATTGATCTCACATTGGAGAAATTTACCTCTGCATTAAACCCATCCCCTTGGAGAGCAGTGGGCTGCCATCGTGGGGCGCCCGGGGAGCAGCGTGGGGTTAAGGGTCTTACTTAGGCTACGTTCACACTGCAGCCTCAAGTGACCCAATTCCGATTTTTTTGCCCATATGTGACCTGTATCTGATCTTTTTATGACACTCTGAACGACACAGATCGGATTTTTTCAAATGCGACCCAGGCCACTTGGATATGTGGTCCTGAATCCGATACGTATCTGATCTTTTCAAATGCGACCTGTGCCACTTGGATATGTGGTCCTGAATCCGATACGTATCTGATCTTTTCAA